CTATTAAGCATTTGCTAGTGATGTGTTAAAAACTTTTCACTGTGTTTGTAGATGTACACTACTACTTCTTATTCTGTCCAATTTTACTCTGATACTTTGATCTCGTGCTATGAGACTATATCTTCCTGGTGAATTGAACCACTTCTACTGGATTATTTTTGAGTCGGCATCTCACTTGTTGCCTCTGCTGGAGTGCAGTGGCACAATGGCTCACTGCAGCCTCAACCTCCTGGACTCAGGCAATTCTTCCACCTCCTGAGTAACTGGGACTATAGGTGCATACCACCATGCCTAGCTAGTTTTTTTTGGTGGTTGTTGTTTTTTGTAGAGACAAGATCTTGATTTGTTGCCCAGGCTGCTCTCCTGAACTTCTGGGTTCGAGTGAGCCTCTCGCTTTAGCCTCCCAAAGTGCTAAGATTAAAGGTGTGAGCCACCGTGCCCAGCCCACTTTTTTTTTTTTTTTAAATGACTCTATTTCTAATAATAGTTTTTTGCCTTCTAGTCTACTTTGATATTAATATCGCTCCCCAGTTTTCATTGGATTAGAGTTTGTATCCTATAATTTTAAAAAATTCTTTTACTTTCAGCCTTTCCGTATCTGTGTGTTGAGAGTCTTGTAACATATAGTTGTACTTTGAAAATTTAATTAAATATTGTTTACTTTTAATTGAAGGACTTTGTTTATGCAATGCAAATATTGGTATAGTTGGTTTTAAATATTTCTGAAACAAAAAACTCTTAAGCTTGTCTTTTGCTTAGTTATTCTACCAGTTTATGTTCATGCATGAGTAAATTTGATAATTTTTTTTTTTTTTGAGTTGGAGTCTCACTCTGTCACCCAGTTCTGGAGTTCAGTGGCATGTTCCCAGCCACCACAGCCTCAACTTGTGGGGCTCCGCGGTCCTTCTGCCTCAGCCTTCCAAGTAACCGGAACTATAGGTGTGTGCTACTATGTCTGGCTAATTTTTTGATTTATTATGAAGACGAGATCTCGCCAAGTTGCCCAGGTGGGTCTCGAACCCGCAGGCTCAGGCAATCCACTCGCCTCGGCCTCCCAAAGTGCTGGGATTACAGGCCACCGAGCCTGGCCTGATAAATTATTATTATTTTTTTTGAGTTGGAGTCTCACTCTGTCACTCAGACTGGAGTGCAGTGACTCCTCCCGGCCACGGCAGCCTCGACGTGCTGGGCTCCAGTGATCCTTCCACCTCAGCCTTCCAAGTAGCTGGAACTACAGGCACGCGCTACCACGCCCAGCTCATTTTTTGGATTTATTGTAGAGATGAGGTCTCGCCAAGTTGCCCAGGCGGGTCATGAACCCGCTGGCTCAGGTAATTCACTCATGTCAGCCTCCCAAAGCACGGGATTACAGGCTGAGCCACTGAGCCCGACTGATAAATTATTTCAAAGGAATAATTAAGGCATTAAGAAATAGTGCCTGTTTTTTATTCTGATTTTGGAAAAGTAATCGTTGTGTGATAATTGTGAAATAAAAGTCTTCATATTTTTAATCCTGTGATATGTTATTTGAGTAACTAGACAGCTCTGTTGAGAACCAAAACTTCTTAACGTTTATGAGGTATGAATATTGCAAAACCACTTTTTTGTTGTTGTTTATTTTTGGCCTGTCATTCTTTAGAATTGCCACCTCTTCTTTCATTAGGGTTGTAATAACTTCGTAGCAGACTGTAGCTTGATGACTGTCCTCCTTGAAAGTTTTGCTATGTCCTTTTTCTTCCTGATGCTTCCTCTCAAGGAGGATAACTGCCAGTGCCACGTAACATGTTCAGATGCAGATATGAGCCAGCCACGTTCATGGGCTGTGAGCCATGGTTGTGAACCTGCTGCTTCTCAAGTCTTGTGTCTGGCTGAGAAGTAAAGGATATAATTTCTTATTAAGTTTATCTCACAAGTGATTTTACTTATAAACATTCTTTTGAAAATCTTTTCATTGTCACAAGTGTTAAACACAAAAGTGTGGAGAAGAGCATAATGTCTCTTCCATTCTCATCACCTGGTGTAAGTAAATGGCCAATTCTGTTTCATTTCTGCTTTGTCCCTGGTCATTTTGAAGTCAGTTTTCAGTTGAAGCATTGTATCATTTAGGTGTCATTGTATCATATAGGTAGATAGACAGGTGTGTGTGCTTTTGTGTATTTCATTATGTATCTCTAAAATATCAAGATTCTTTTAAAGGTTGATATTGTTTCTAAAATATGAATAATTCCTTAAAATCAAATACCTGCTGTTTCACATTTCCCCAATTGTTTCATAAATAATCTTACACCAAAATTGATTGATATATCTTTTTAAGTCTTTTTTAAAAAAATTCTATAGGTTTTCCATTTTCCTTTTGATCTTAGTAAAATGTGTTTGTTGAAATCAGGTCATTTATTTTCCAGTTTGGGTTTCCTGACATTCCTGAGCTGTCATTTAGCATGTTTCTCTGCTCCTGTATTTCTCTGTTCCTACTGTCTGTCTGTAGATTGGTAGTTAAATCTAAAAGGAAAACATTTTTAAAAAAAATTTAACTACTTCTGACATTGCACATTTCTTGGATCATTGGTATTATAAGGGGCTTGCAGACTGAACTGTTGTGATGTTATTGTCACCTGACCTGCCTTCGGTTTCCAGACACAGACAAACACATCCCTGAGAAAACTTTGTCCAGAATTCCACGTCATTTCGAGAGTGGAGTCTCAAATGCATTTGAAAGCAGAAATCTCTCCCTCTGAGCTCTAGGTCCTTGAGTGTGAGCCACATCAATGTTTCTGATTGTTCAGTGGTCCTATTCTGTGGTTCTCCAGAGCTGGAAGCACTTGAATTTGTCTTTTGCTCTTCTTGTCCCTTCAACTCAATCCACAGCTCCACCTGTGCTGTAATTCAGCTTGTTAACTAGGACATAAAAGCCTCAGCCAAAGTTCTTTTCTGTGTCAAAGTTCTTTCTCACCACACCTTCCAGTCTACCTTTTTAAAGTGTAGTTGGAAAGCGTTTTGGCCAGGGTAGCTTTCCTTTAAGAGAAAGTGGCAGCTGTAGACCCTGTAATTGTGAGAGATTTGTTTACTTGTGAAATTTAAAACAGTTCCAGATTTATTATTACAAAAGTAACATTTTTGTTCAAAAAATTAAAGTCATGTGTAAGTATATAAGGCCCTCCCCTCTTCTACCTCATTCTCAGAACAGTTGTTGGAAACTTGATTTGTCTCATTCTATGCAAATATAATTATATATAGAATATGTTATATACACACACACGTTTTTATCTTTAAAAATAGTTCAAATCTGGCTATAAAATATTTGCGTACTAAGTATTGTGAATGGTTACTTTCTCAGGAGTCTGTTGTTCCTCCTCCAATTACTGCTGACTGTCATTTTCATTCTTTATGACCAACTTATAGATCCGGAAAAACGAGTTAGGAGAGAACCTACCAATACCAGGAAAACTTGTGCGTAGATTTCCATTTTTATGCAAAGACATGTAAGAACATAAATCGTATCATCAAAACTAAATCATGTATAAATGCCATATATGTTTAGAAAAACCTGGAAGTAGAACCACCAGATACACTTTGAGCTAATGTAGTAAAGTTAGCTCTTTGTCAAAGCTTGCCTTGTTTAAAAAAATTATTTCTGAGAAAATTTGAAAAACATAGCAAAAAATCCCTGCCTATGCTATCGTAAATGTCACTAGCTAGAATCGGGATTGGATAGGATATTCCATGGTAGTGACTCTAGTCTCTGTTCTTTTCCCAGAACTGTGTCTCCCAGATCTGGGTGGGAATTTACAGGAAGCTCTACTTACACTATTTTCAGACTTTGAAATATAGAAATGTAGAAACTTGATTTAATTTAATTGAAATATAGAAATGTAGAAACTTTATTTAATACAATTTTTTAAAGGCCTCAAGAACTAAAATGTACTTGACAAATTAAGTAGAATTTCTCTCTTCTCTTTACTGCCCTCTCAGTTCTCTCTCTCCTTTTCTCACCTCTGATTTCATGTAAATGGTTTTAGTTGGGTTGGGCCCTCAGTTTGTCTCACTCAATATTAGGACAACACATGTCTTGGAACCCCTGAGTTCTGCAGGTTGTCTCTTATGAGCAGCACCTTTTCGTTTAGTGTCACTACATACATAGGCATTTCAGGGAGAATCGCCGGGTCTAGAATCACCTCAGAGGTGACTGTAAGATGGTGAACTCTGATCTTAAATGAGCATCCAGTTTGGGGTTATTTTTTCACAATGATAGTCTGAAACAAAAAAGTTGCTTTATTTCTGAAATTTCTGAAAAATTTCTAGCAGAGACAATTTCTGAATTTTATAAAAATTTCTAGCAAAATGAAGTGCTTTCCTTTGAGACATATTTTACTAAAAGCCCTTTACAAACGCACACACATTCTTTGTGAGCTAGGGAAAATAGGAAGACAGAGAGAGAACGCTCTTGTGCCTCTAAATGTCTTTTTGCATAGTTTGCACACACTCAGTGCAGAGATTTCCTATGCTGATTAGCTTCCTTTCTCCTCTAAGCTACACTGCCTCCCTAGCTGATTCCTTGCAGGGTATAGACAGAAGCTGCTGGGGAAACTGGTCAGTGAGACCAGCACTCTTCTACTCTCCTGGGATTCTGTTTTTAATCCTCCATAAAAGGCTGCTGGATGCTTCAGAGTATTCAGAATAGACTTAAACGCCAGCCTTTTGATAAACCTCTGGATTGTTGTCGTGTTTTATTGTCATGATGTACATGTCATTACTCTTTAAAATTAGTGCATTCATGTTATAAGCAGACAGCCTTATTAGAGTGTTGCTTTCATTTTTCTCTATTAGAAATGAAAAAGGGCATTGTGTGCATCCAGAATTTCCTTTTTACACCTTTGTATTAAGTACTTTGTTCCCTTTATATTTATCTTAAAATTGAAAAGAAATAATGCTTCTATTGTCTTACTGTGGTTGCCACACATGCTACAAAAGCTGTATTGTGCATGCTTTAAAATTCTCCAACCAGTTTTGTGTGTTATGCTGGGAGCTTAGTCACCAACATACTCAACAGGACCTGATTAAGAAGGCTGTCCCGCCTCTGAGCCCAGTGAGATTGTAGCCACTAGCAACCAGGCTCGATAATTTCACTTTGATGACGTCATCCACTGTGGAAGCGCCCAGGGCTGGCAAGGGAGCCGCAGCTCCAGCCTCATCAAAGATGGCATCTCCCCGGCCTGCCGTGGCTGGGCCAGAGGAAAGGCTGACGTCCTCTTAAGCCAGCCGGCTTTCCTTCTGCTGTTGCTCTTAGGATTCTGGTCATGGACGTGTCTTCCGATCCTTATTTGCCCTATGATGGGGGAGGAGACAGCATTCCCCTGAGGGAGCTGCATGGGAGAGGTATGCGTCCTGCTGGGTGGCTCTCGGTGTCTGCATGCGGGTGGCCCTGGGGGACACTGTTCTCCTTATCCTTTGGATGCCGCGGTGTGCTCTCTGGTTGCTCTGGTTTGTTCCCAGCAGAGACGAGCCTCTGTAGGCATTCTGATCATTTCTCTTCGTCCTGCTTCAGACCACAGCATGCTCCGACTCCATCTTCTGCATGAAATCCTCTTTATGTGTAACTATGAGCATGAATTAATCCGCTTTCGCAGCTAACTAAAGTCGTGTTGTTGGCACCCACAAAATGATGTTTCTTCCTTTGGAAAATTTGTGTTTCCTGTCATTTACACAGATAAGTGCCTGTGACCATTATATTTCAGCTGCTGCCAATTACCATGTTTATTTTATACCACAGAGTAAATTTATAGCAAAAGCTTCATCTACATGTTAGAACGTTTTTAAATGACAGTAAGGATGAGCAGATTTTTGTATTAATATCTTTCATTTAATATGTATTTCAGCTGATTAGCATACTACACTGTCTCCCACAGGTACCTTGTGAAATTTGATATGATAAGACACATTTAAGGTGCTTTTTAAACCTCAGAAAAAATAAGTCAATAGTTAATGAAAAATAGAAGAGCACCCTGCCCCAGTCTCCTTAAAACTAACCACATGTTAATTATTGCCCTTTCAAAATTTTTTAAATGATTATTCTAAAAATAGATTGATGTTTGTCATGCTAGAAAAAAATTGTGACTTAGTTTATGAGCCATATTTGTTTGAATTACTGCCTGTTATTATAAAAGTCACTTTATGGTTTACCAGACTTTTATTCATAAAGTAGATAGGGAAGTCATACTCTTCTTGAGCATATTTAGCCTGTTTTATTTAAAATATACTTTATTTTCTGATAACACTTTTTTTGTATTGTTGTAGTAAATTTAAAAATTATAATGTATTCTACAAATGTTTATTGGTTGCTTTGTGTCTGCTATATACTTTTTAGGCTCTGAACAGTTGTAACATTTATCTTGTATTTTGTAGTTAGTAGAAACTTGTTTTGTTACATTTTGAGAAATGCTATATAAAGATCACACTGTGTGTATTGTGCTTTCTCTTACAGAGTTCCCTTTTTAATAAATTTCAATATAGATGCTAATTTATATATATTTAAAAGCATAAAGAAGAAAATAAGTTTGTCACAATCTTACCACTCAGAGATTTTTATTATTTATGTTATGGTCATATAAGTTCTTTTTCCTATATTCTGTCCTCAATTTTCTGGTAGAGATTTCTTTAAACTAGAAGTAAGATGAGTGAATAGTGACTGTTCAGTTGTTACATTATTTGCTAATTAGCAATTGTACTGTAGAAGAAGACAGACTGTGTTTTCCCTGAGCTTTGATGACAGACCTGGGCTTGAGAAATTTAAATTCCAGAACCTGCTTATACACCATCTCTGTATAGAATATACAAATAATAAGAAATAAGCCAAAACGTATGTGGGAATAGGAACGGTTCCTGAAATTATCAAATATATATACTCTTTTAATTTGTATTCCATTTTCATAAATAACCTGCAAGAATCTTCCTTTGGGTCTAAATTAGTGCCCCTCTTGGCAGCCCAAATAGGTTCCTTATCCCTTGATGAAACTTACTCTATAAGCCAATGTTGTTTGGAAGTAGTGCTGTGTCTTTGCGGTACCAATCAGTCAGTTGTTAGGCTTGCTTAGCTGCTGTATCACCTTAAACATGCTGTAGTGTCCTGACGTCTGTTGGTAAGAGGTCGTTTGCTTTCCATAATTTATGACCCATTGTAGTCATGGGTCAACACAAAGGAACTGGTGCAAACGAGGGCTAAAATAAATTTGAAAATCAGCTCCCCTGTGAGGAAGGACAAAACAACAATGATTAAAATGATAGAGAGAGCCGGGCTCTGGGGCTCAGCCTGTCATCCCGCGCCTTTGGGAGGCTGAGGTGAGTGGATCGCCTGAGCCCGCGGGTTCGAGACCCGCCTGGGCAGCGAGACCTCATCTCTACAATAAATCAAAAAATCAGCCGGGTGTGGTGGCACATGCCTGTAATTCCAGCTACTCGGAAGGCTGAGGCGGAAAGATCGCTGGGGCCCAGCAGGCCGAGGCTGCGGTGGCTGGGAGCGGCCACTGCACTCCAGTCTGGGCGACGGAGTGAGACTCCAACTCAAAAAAAAAAAAAATTGATAGAGAGTGAAGAAATAGATGAAGTATAAAACTGAAGGATAGCACTAAGGTAAACACGAATCTGTTGACTACACCCCCAAGTACTGCAGGGATTACCTTTGCTGGGTCAATTAAACATAATACTACTTTTCAAGGTGAAAAAGTAAGGAATGAAGCTTCCTGCCGAAGTGAGTCAGAGAGAGGCTGGAAGTATAAGTAGATCCAAAGTACAGTTAGTTCATATATCATTGATAAATTAGCAATTAAGATGGTATTTTTAAAATAGCCATCTTGGGGGTTACATTTCTTGTGGAGAAACAATCAGGCTCTCTCATAAAATTTCCTTTGTTAGCAGGAAAGAAAATAATTGGTTTATTTGAACTGCTAGTTCTACCCTTTGACTGTCTTAATTTGTTGATGAAGTTTAAATAGTTTTGGGGTTGAATTTTTTTCTTCTGCCAAGCCATTATGATGGATTGGATCTTTTGGGTCACAAGGAGCCTTTAAAAATTATTTGAATAATAATAGTTTCATTCAAACTGAGCTTTTTGTGTATATATAAAGCACTGCTAGGTGCTGCGGAGAATTATGGTGATCAAATAGTAATGTTAATAATTGCTGATACTAATTAGAATTTAATGTTTGCCAGACACTGTTCTAAATGATTGTTTTAATCTTTAAAGACAGAATCTCATTGTCTCTCCCAGGCTGGAGTGCAATGGCACAGTCATAGCTTTACTGCAGCCTTGACCTCTTGGGCTCAAGTGATCCTTCCACCTCAGCCTCTCAAATTGCTGGCTTGTTCTAAGTGCTGTATGTGTGTCAAATCATTTTAATCCTCATCACGAACTTATGAAGTAGCTACTGCAATAATCCCCAGTTTCCAGTTGACAAAATTGGTAGAGAAATGTTAAGGAAAAGTTGGAATTTGATCCTGGTCTTTGGCTTATACTCTAATCACGAGGCGTTACTGCCTCTCACTCTGTATATCTCTGTAGTAACTTGTGTTTTGAGTCTGGTCAGGGCATAAGAAGGCTTCCCACGTTTAAAAAAAAAAAAAGAAACATGACCCTGAGGAAGCTGATAAGGTTCCAGTGAATGTTATAGGTTGTATGTTCCATGGGCCTTTGGCAGCAAAAGAGAGCAGTCTCCTTTTGACAGGGTTTATCAAAGCAAGCTATCTTCAGGCCACCAGGGAGTGTGGCTGGGCATCCCTGTAAAGATGCCAGAATAGGAAGTGCTGTGTTGCTGGGAAGGGCCTCGTGTTGTTCCCTGGTTGGTTCAAGATGCAACAAAGCTCAGTCAAGGTGCTGGTCGAGGAAGTGGGAGGTAGAGGGCCTCCTGGAGGGCCGGTGCTGAGCTTTCCCACAGACGATGTGGCCTTGGTTTGGGGTCTTGTTTTTCAAGTTTCAACCTGAAGTCATTTCTTGACATTCATCAGCTCAGCGATGTATTTAAATAGAGCTGTTTTGGTTCCTTTAAGGTAGAGAAATTTGCTTATTTTTCTCCCCTCCTAAAAGTATCCGTAGTTAGCAATTTCTGCACATTGTTTGGAAATCTAGGTGCTATATGATATTCTTATTGCCAGAAGGACATTCTGTAGGTTCTTTGTAAAATGATTTTAGGATTTAGATCTTTATTATAATTTATCACTCCTAATGTTTTATCTAACTAGAAAATTAAACCTCTTCTTAGAAATTGTCTTTAAATTATAGGGCAACTGAATATTCTTTATTTGGTGCCAGAAAAGCTTTGTATTCTAAAACAATGGTATAAAACAGAGCGTGTTTTTTCATTCATTTTGCCCACAGTATTTGAATTTCAAATCTTCAATAAAACTTGGTTCATATTACTGCCTCTAGCTCCATTTTCTAAAAATAACTGACACTTTACTAGGTTAATTTTATGCCGTTGCACAGATTGTCAGAAGTGTTTTGCGTGTCAGGGCTTCAAGGCGTGGACTGCCTTCCCTGCTGAGGAGCCTGGGATGTTTAGGGCTCTGCCGATGCCTGCATGGAGATCTCTGCTCTGGGCCTCCACCTAGGACTGCAGCTTTAGTTGCACTTTAAGCCTGTGGTTCTTGTTTTTTAACTAGTGTGTGTCTAATTTGTAGTTTTTCTGTATTTCTCTGCAACTTTAATTAGGTCATAAAATAGATTTACTATAGTTTCCTTCATAATTTTTTTAAGCTTATGAAATTTAGCAAATGTTATAAATCTTTGTATATTCACATAATATATAGACCATTTTATATGCAGAGATAATATATGCATACGAGCTTGTTTCAGTTAACAGGGTTGCCTTGATGTCCACTTTATTATCTCCACCTAAGAACGTGACTTTTTTTTTTAGCTGGAGTCTCACTTTGTCACCCAGGCTGAAGTGCAGTGGCACGCTCCTGGCCACCGCAGCCTCGACCTGCTGAGCTCCGGCGATCTTTCTGCCTCAGCCTTCCAAGTAGCTGGAACTACAGGCATGCACCCTAATTTTTTGATTTGCTGTAGAGATGAGGTCTTGCCAAGTTGCCCAGGCTGGTCTGGAACTCCTAGCCTCAGGTAGTCCTCTTGCCTCCACCTTCCAGATTGCTGGGATTACAGGCGTGAGCTGCTGCTCTCAGCTAGGATGTGGCTTTTTATTTTGAGGCAGCAACAGAGCCTAGAAGAACACAGAGATGACTAGTGTCACTGCCACTGACTGGTTGTGTATCTTTGGTTAGCTTCTTTGGGACTTGGTATTAACTTCCATGTCTTTGCAATTTAGATAGTTAAATATGACTGAAGGACTCAACAAATTTTAAGAGCATATGCTTCTTTTATACTG